CGATCTCGGAAATGGTACAAAAGAATCTTTTTCCACATGATTGATATGACATTAGTTAATGCCTGGTTATTATGGCGCCGAATTCATGGACTTGAATACCTGCCGCTGTTCGATTTCAAACTTGCAGTGTCGGAGCATATGCGCAAAGCTGGAAAGGTTATGGTGGCCAAAAAACGTGGTCGTCCAGCTGGCCTTCTTGGAACACCAACCTCAAGTCGAGCCATTACTCCCGCTAGCGATGTCGGTAGTCCAGCAAGTGCAGTGGCCAAAAATCGTGGTCGTCCAGCTAGTCTCCTTGGAACACCTACCTCAAGTCGAGCCGGTACTCCCACTAGCGAAATCGGTAGTCCAGCAAGCGCGGTGGCAAAAAAACGCGGACGTCCATCTTGCCTCAGGAGTCTCAACTTGCCTGAGACTTCAAGCCAAGGCAGCAATGAGTCTAGCTTGCCTGAGTCGCCATTGCCTTCCAAAAAGGCACGAAAAGCTCCAGCTAGACACCAAGAGTTACCTTTGGATTCTGTTCGAACAGATAACGTGGCCCATTACCCAGAATGGATGAAGTCAAATCGACAAATATGTCAAAACTGCTTAAAATACCGTTCCTTCACGAAATGTGGAAAATGTAAGGTTTCTTTATGTTTCAATGACAAACGCAACTGTTTTCTGGAATTTCATAAAGTTTAATTGTTAATGCATACGAAGCCATATTTGGCTTCATATCGTTTTGCTATAATGCATACGAAGCCATATATGGCTTCGTTGGCTATTTTCTTAATTATTATTACTTATTTTTTTTGTCATCCTAACTTATTATATAAGGTAAAATAAAAGACATTTTCAGTAAAAAATTTTTTTTTTGTCTCCTTCATAATTCATGCAATAAGGGGTTAACAAGTGCAAAAAAACTATAACTGCAAGAACAAATCAAATATTTAAACTGACATAGTAATAATTGAAAATTCCTAGCAAGTACAGAGATATAAGATTAATTTTTAACCACTGTGCCGCGGCACCTTTGTGTGTCGCCAAATTTCGTAAGTGTGCCGCCAAATTTTGCAAATATATAATAATGTTAATATTATTAAATTATATAATTTAAAAAGAAAAATATTTTTAACATGAATATACATTTAAATCCACAAAAAAATAAATTATTTTATTATTTGCTTTGCAGTGGGTTTTTTCTTAGTGCCAGATTATGATGAAGCGGCGTCAAAAAACATTAAGCTCAAATTTCGCATTAAAAATATTTTTATTATTAGCTGGTAATTAATCCCTTAATAAACGTTTAGTTATTATTGTAGTATAAATTAGTTTATTTCGTATATTTAAAATTGTAGTCATAAACTATTTATGCAGTGTGTTGTAGTAAGTAAATAATTTTTATCTTTTTCTTTGTATGCCGCCAAATTTTGAAATCGTTAAATATTTAGTAAAATCCTTATTATGTACTCAATGTTGTTTGTCTTCCTACATTTAAAAATAAATGTTTTTCAAAATGCATTGAACACACCCTGGCATGCCTTGAAGGCTTACAATTTGGTCTTCCGCAAGCTTCAATCTAATTTTGAAGTTCAGTTTCATTTATCAATCAATTTTGAAGTTCATGTCCATGTGATGAAAATCTAAAATATAAACACAATTACTATAACACTTTTTTTTTAAATTTCATACTTTAATTTGAAAAATTGAGGTCATCATTATGATAATAATATGATTAGTCATATAGAATAACAATATTTTATGAAGAAAAAACACATTTGGCCGAGATTTATTGATAAAATTAGTTATATTATCTACTATAAACTCAAACATTTCTAACCAAATACATAGCACGATTTTGAGTGATTCTAAATACAGAAATGATATTCAATAAAGTCTAGAAGATGTAATTTAACATTATATTACAGTAAATTAAGCAGTATTTTAATATAATCATGCAAAACTTTACTGAGAGGCTTTAAATGCTAATATTTTAGGTTACAAACTTGGATTGATTTTAATCAAAAGTTTAAAAATTGCCCAATTGTTTTTTTAAATCACCTTTTGTAGTTCTATGTACTTAGAAAATAGTTAAGTTTCAAACATTTTGATATTTGTTTAACAGAATATTGATAATTTAATTTTAAAGCACTTTGAGGGGAGATTTTATGCACTTCGATGTCAGCCTTAATGATCTGAGTTATATTCTTATTCAACTTATTTAATAATATTTTTAGCTTGTTTTGTGTCGTATTTAATAAATTTCCCTCCGTTTGTGGCAATGAGAAATTTTACCTTGACGAAGAAATAAACAAAATGCTTCTTACTTACCTGAAATATGATACACCTACAATATTTCTTTCGGATCTATTTTTGCAAGATATAACACTACACTTAACCATTATTTTAATTCGCAAGTAACGTTTCTTAATTTTAAACTCTATACATCATATAAAATATTGTTTAAATACACTTCTTTCCAACTTTTTTCTATATTAATTGAGTCCAACAATTTCTATGCCTAAAATTTTGACGTTTTGGTGCCAAACAAGCCTGGTGCCAAACAAAAAAACCGGCCACATCGATAAGGACAACAAATAATGTTTTTATCTCACTTTAACTAATGAAAATTGTAATAAGTCATTTCATTTCCCGGTGAATGAGATAGAACATACTATTAGTCTATTGCTTTCTCTGTCTACGATATATCTACATTACTCGTTCATTCATTCGTTCATCATAAGGGATGAAATTAGACAGCTGGCATTACAGTATCAACGTAGACAGCTTACTCTGTCTACGTGTGTGAATTATCTATTTTCCGTTCATTCTTCCGTTTGCACATATTCTGTCTTTGTTTAATTTACAGTTTAATCGCATATATGAGGGAGACAAACATACTAAACCTATTTATATTATACAGTATAATATTAATGTTATTTCCAAAGCCTGTCCTGATTTCGGAAAAGTACTACTCTTTATGGCGCGTCTGTTGTATGAGTTTGCTTCTCTAGTTATTAAACTCATTGCTTCAAAGTTTGAATAGGTCCAAATTTACACGCTTGTGATGTGAGTGTGTGTGCATTAGTGTTACAACCATGTACTAGCGATGGGCGATGGAAAAAACGATCGACTGAATCGAAAATTGTGCTACTGCCCATTCGATTGTCGATTTAGTAGTTCCCTGCCATGATTATCCGAATAATAATCGTCTTAGTTACTAACTGTACGCACACTATGTGACCATCTTGTGTTATGCGCGTACGGTCGGTTAACTGCGCGGAGTATTATGGTGTTGCGTTGATTGTTGGCTTACTTTATTAGTTATTATATTAGTTGGTATTATTATTCATAAAAAGAAAGAGAAGTAACATAATACAAAAAACATGAAATACCGCCTGGTGACAGACAGACGGACGGATGAACAGCGAAGTCTCAGTCATAGGGTTCCGTTTTTACCCTTTCGGTACGGAACCCTAAAAATATGTAGTATGTTAACGATGGTACATTTCAAGGTTTGTTTGTATGATATTTCAACATTATTCTTCGTTCGATAGTGTAGATAAGTAACAACAACATTGCGACGATCGAATGGATCAAATGACTTCTAAACAGACAACTAAATAACGTATTAGCGCCAATCACATAATAACTGCAGTCAAGCGCAGCGCACGCCATACCGCACTGCACCATAAGTAGTATGCACGGGTAAAGTAATATGACGCTGCGCTCGAAATTAATCGAATAAGTAATTACGGTAACCGTAGCGTGTCATAGCCACCCGCTGCCGCAAGTTTTAGTTGTTAACAACAATCGAATAACATCAATTGTAATTGACTTTTATCAACTAAGTTGAATAATCGACTAATTCGATTTTTTAAGTAATAATCGCCCATCATGTCGCTAAACTCCGAAAACTTGGAATTACAAAATTGAACCTTATAACTATCAGTTAAAGAAAACTTTTAATTACTTTTTATTGAGAAGCTAATCCGAGCCAAGAAATATGACTATACTGTACTTACTGTACCTGCACGCGTAGCATGACGAACGCGAGAACGTTTTGTCTACACTCAAATTTCACTTTTCTCGAGTGCGCCCATACGATATCTCACTCTCAACCCGAGAAACTGTCTAGACAAAGCGTTTCTCGAGTTTGTTATGCTACGCGTGCTGATATCCCCCTTGGCTCACAGCTCTCTTGACTTTCAGCTGGTAGTACTCTGTCTTGATGTAAGTGCTAAGTCCATGGTTAGGACTGGCAAATATGGCAGACATAGACGCCAAAGTTATTTCTCTGAGGTTCTTCTTCTTCTTTTTTTATTATCAATGTCTTATATACCCATTTCGCATAATTCCAGCAATTGTCTTCTATCTTTGTGGTATAAATCCTTCTGATTCCAAATGCACGTTTCACTTTGATATGCCTCGGGATGGCCATAATTTCGTCGTTTTACTAAGCACTCATTATGAACATTATATTGATTGAACATTATGAGGTGGTTTACAGCGTAGCTCAAAACACAACCATAAAGCGAAAAGTCATGAGCGGCATGCGCTAATTGCCGCCAACGTGTAAATACGTTACAAGCCATTGCTGCAAGCCTCCATTAATCCATGTTCAAAAACCGACGCTGGCCCCACGGATCGGCAACAAGCTCTTCCCATCTCATGCAAGTCAAGGCAAAAACCCTCTTTATACGCTTGTGCTTGTGGAAGCTTGCTGAGACTTACTAAGCATGTAAACGTATATAAAATCAAAGTTTTGTTGAGCGTAAACAGTTGTTTAATATTGTATTTTTTGTGCGAAAAATGGGTGGTGTTATTTAATTTCTCGAGCTTCTTCAAACACTAGCATCGCCATGGGATTCCATAAATCTTTACAACGCATGGCTTCGAATTAAAATATTAAACTTTGTAGATAGTGGCGCTATAATACAATGTAGATATTTGTGGCGCCCGCATTTACCCTGATACGTCTTATTAATTGGCAACACTGGGTGTTTGGCTCGGCTGTTGGCGTTGTTCATTCGAATTTCAAATTTCCCTAACGTTTATTTCCTGTAGAAACGAAGGATTCGAAAATTGTGTTGGTATTAAAGGCCTTTCGACATATAATTATTGTAATTACGAGAAGTACCTTTAACATCGCTTTAATTGTAGTGGCTATTGATTTCATTTTTGAGTTAAAATACGAGAAAGAAAGTAAAGAAATTGAAATATTGTTTGTTCAAGATGACAGCCAGAGATATATACTATTCAGAGAAGTACTATGATGAAGAGCACGAATACAGGTACGTTAATTATCATTTGTTTCCTATCCAAGATATTTTTGCGCTGATTATGACTGACCCTTACATTCACCTACTCATCAATTAACCATTGTTTTATAACCTTATAATCCCCAATAATTGTTACATTTTGATAATTATTGGTCTTCTGTCAAATTATATTCTTTTAGATAATTACTTTTTATTTGATTTGCTATAACTTGTATACTCTATTATCTGTCTGTTATAGGCATGTTGTGTTGCCAAAAGAATTGGTGAAATCGGTGCCGAAGAATCGTCTAATGTCTGAACAAGAATGGCGAGATATTGGTGTCCAACAAAGTCAGGGATGGGTACATTACATGACACATCAACCTGGTATGTAAATTTTTGACATTTGCTTTATTTATACTATTACTATTTTGGTAACAAAGAACTAGAACTTTCTACATGCTAATTATTTACACAAAACAATAATCTCTATCATTAATTTTTACAAGCTCCACAATGTATAATGTAATATGAAATTAAAGATTATAAAAAATTCACTTTTGAATAATTGGAAGTTGTTAGTATTTGAATGTTTCTTCTATTTCAGAACCCCATGTTTTGTTGTTCAAACGAAAGAAGACAACTACCCCTGTAAAGAAGTAAAGTTTTGTGATATAATTAAAAGTTGTACAGTTTTTGCATAAAAAGATTAGTGTAAGTTTAGCCCATGACAGATCTTGTAATGTTTCAAAAGAATTCTTATTTTTAAAAGTACATGAAATAAGAGCATCTGTTAATTCATATAATAACCAAATTAATTAAAAAGCAAAATAATAACACATATTTTTATAAGTAGAAATGACATTTAATAGGCTCAACAGGAAAAATATACTATTATTATTGATTGTTTTACGGACTCTATGGACACTGTCCATAAAGGATTAAAAGCATTGGTTATATTGTGATTGAAGTTGTAACAATTTTTTGTGTATTATTAGGTTTGTAATGGGTGTAATGATCTTCATTCCATACTGTTTAAGTTCATTGGTGTATAATTAGTCATTAATATGTAAGACTTCTATGTTTCTGCTGTTTTTATATACTAAACTGTATTGTAGTCTTCGTTATCAGAAGTGAAGAAAGTTGTATTTGTAAGAAATTCCTTTGTTGAAAGAGTGTTTCAAAGGAATTGAAAATCTTTGTTATGATTGTACTAAGTAAAGCAAATTTAAAATTAGGTCAGGAAGTAATTTACAGAACCTTTCTATGCTTTTTTATGTAATGTTGGTATTATTTAATTAATTTGATACTTAGCTGAGGCACCATTCTTTACATAAAAACTTTGTTTTATATGAAGTAAATATGTCCCTAATCCACATTTAAATCATTAATTCATTCATTCTCATTGTAAATAATGTAATTGTAATGGTCATATTAATTAATTATCAAAATGTCATTAATTGTTAATGTGGTGTTTATTTTTTTAACAAACTGATATTAAATAAATTATTTGGTGCTATGTTAAACACTTGTTTTATTTAAAAGACTTGGGAACTAGAAAACTGAGTATAATACTTAGTTAATGAATAAAGGATGAATAGGTATAATTGTCATATTTATTCTTGCTTAGGCACCATCTGGGACTGATAAATAGTATGAAATTGTGAAATATTTTTCTTAAATAGGTATAGTTTTGTATTGTGACTATTCTCTGAGAGCAAGTACCTGGTCAATTTACAACTAAATAAGCAGTCTTCCAATTCGCTACAGGGTATCAATATAAATTATTAATAATGCATCAAGTATTCCTACCTTCGAACAACTGAACCTAGGGACATTGGAGATGGTGACACCTTGAAATTAAGAGTGCTATTAACTTTATACCTACAACTTGTAACATCTGAAATGTTACACTACAGGCAAACACTCATATCAGGGAGATTATATGATTATCTAACCTGAAATATCACTACTCAGACAAAGCTCCAAGTGAGGAGTTACCATTTGAGGTATGCAACTATGAAACTAATGTAAATATGTAATCAAAAGCTATTATATATAATGATGGCAAATAAAATGTGTGATCTACTAATGAAACTGAGGCTCATAACTGTTTTAAAATATATGCTTTTCAATTTACCTATTTAGCAATAATTAAGAAAAGAGCTGCTATATTTATAAACTAAACAAATCTTGGATCATATGTATTAGTCATGGGTGAAATAACAAAGAATCAATTGAAAAAGAATGATTTATTTTCTTTTTTTCTTTGCATTTGGTGACAAAGAGGGTAATTTAGTAGTTTCTGGTTGTGTGAATTCCATAGGTTCTATTTTGATGTCATCTGTTGTTACTGTGTCCAGGAGTTCTAGACCTTGTAACTGCTCTTGTTCTAGACTATGCAACATTTGAAACCCAGGCTCTAATGATGGAGTAAATGTACCATCTAATGCAGCTGGAAAATGCAACTCCGGTACTTCTTCTAACTTCAGTTCTGGAGCAATGTCACCAATAGCCAGGGCCTCACACTGTGCTCGTAAATCTTCACATTTTTTCTTCATCTTTGCTTGATATTTTACAACACGGTTGTTATAGAATTCATGTAAGTTGCCAACGTTTAAATCAGCGAATACTTTAGAGACTACATCAGGGAACCCAGATTTTAAGCCACTCGTCTCTCTATCTACTACTGTTCGCATAAGTTTACACATATTTGTCATGTAAATGTCTAAAGCGTCAGCAACAGCACTCAGTGCTGTATTGGTGCATGTTGCGATGCCTACATGACCTATGGCAATAGCGGCGCATTGTTTCAATGCGCGTTTGTGACTTTCGGGAGTAAAAGGTTGTATAACTGGTCCTTTACCTAAAGAAAAATCGCAATACGATTTCTGAAGAAAATTTATAGGCGGAGTAGCTTCGTGTTTGAGGGTCAGCGACGGATCTGGAGGTATGATCGGTAAACTCATAGGATCTAATCGTGCTCCTTCGAAAATGGCATTTTCGGTTTGCTCCAGTACAGCAGATAACTGCCTCGCACAAGAATGTAATTGAATTGTGTGTGTGATCAAATTAGGCTTGGGAAGTTCTATTGGAGAAGACTTCACTGTTATAGGTATTTCTGGTATGTTCTGCATACCAAGCTCAATAATGGGATTAAAATTGACATTTTGCAGAACAGCATCGTCACCATTGTCGTTTTCAAATGCACCCCAAAGCTTTTTAGAAGACATTTTGCGTCCGAAAAACGAAAACACGATCGTTTTTCTTCTTGATGAGGCAAGAATTTGCAACCTATAATCTTTTTATAAATAAATAATGAACTGTTATTTAGTCTATGTTGATTCCATAGACATAAAAGAAGAGGACCGGCCATACCTACGAAAAAAGCGTATATGCCTAAACTTCAAATGCAAATTCTTCGATGGCGGATTGTCATAGGGCGTGACCCAAGATATCGATATTTGTATCGACATTGAAGTCATATTAAATAAAAGTTAGTATTTCGTGAAACTGCTACAATACTACTACTTATTAAATTAAATATAATTTTCATTGTTAGGGGCATGGCTAAACTATTACCTATTACACTTCTATTCATTTCAAACTTACGTACCAATCCTATTTATGATTATTATTAATTAAATTGAAAAATTCACGCCAGTATCAAGAAAAAAATATTTTTTTTAAAAGTGGCGTGAATTTATCAATTATTTATAAATCATTAAGCAATCTTTTGCTCGTATTTTGTTGGACATCTAAAATTTCTTGCGTTCTTTGTTCTTGCGACTCCGTTGCGTCACTATAGTAAATATAACATATGTTACCAGCGTATGATGGCGCTTCCCACGGGTAAAAGATTATTCGTATTCCAAATTTCATCAAAATCCGTTCAGTAGTTTTTACATGAGAGTAACCAACATCCATCCTCACAAACTTTCACATTTATATTATTTAATAATATAATTTTATAATATGATTGTACCTCGATAAATATGTTTCTTTTTCCTCTAATATAGCCAATTTTACATAGTTTTAAGATCTATAGTACCAAAATATATATCTTAAAAGTTTTACAATAATATCAATCGTGTTTTATAATTATTTTCATATATATTGTCAAGTTGACATTTTGCAATTATAATTAAATAGTTTTTTTAACATAAGTTTAATTTTGCATCCACGGGAAGTGTGACTACTGTCCAAGATAACTACCACGGTAACTATAATAAGCTTTTAATGAGTCGATTGACGAATGAATTATTATGCTTTTTTTTGTCTGTTATATATTTTTTATTGTTTTGGTGGAAAGTGACATTTTGGTCCAATGAAGTCATTTTTTCTTTTTCAGTACGAAATTAAACAGGGTGCAAAAGCAGCCCTTGCAGTTTCTTATCGGTTCCTTTCTGACAATTTCTTCTTTTCTCGGTACAAGGTTTCCCGTAATAGATTGCTGAACTATAAGCACAGAGTTTCAACTTTCTTATATGCTTGTAACTAGTAAGCAAACTTGTCTATAAATTTATTCAATAAATTGTTTTGACTGAATAAATTTCGCTTCCTCCTCATTAAGTGAGATACCGTGAGTACTGTGTCACAATTTTAGTTCAGAACATCTTGTTTAGTAGTAAACATAGAAAACTTGAAACACCTACATAATCTTTGTATTATATTATTGGTAAAAGAACATAAAAATACTGTAAACTTTGATGAATAAACAAGAGAAAATAAAGAAAACAAAGTTGGTGATGAATAAGTAACAATTGGCATTTTATTTAAAAATTTTGTTAGCAAGAAGAAAACAGCCGATTAATCAATAGGCAAGCATACAAATATTTTCTCAGCACTAAAACAGTCTGCAATTCATGTTCTGTGAACAATCATGATAATGGTCAGCAATTTAAATTCAAAAAGGGAGCTTATTTTATGATGCATCAGCAAAATAAACATCCACGCCGCAAAATAATTATTTGGGTATTAAGATTATACTATTGAACAGCAAAGCAAACCTTTAACTATGCCTTTAATTTGATAAGTGTGCATATTTTAATTTTTATTAAAATTATTTAACTCATTTTATTGTATATTTTACTGGGAGTATATTATGATCAGAATTTTATATTTTAATATTATTACATATTGCATTCTGATTTTTTTCAATTAAAATAGTCATATGACCGCAAGACAAAAAATAAGGTACATTTATAGAATAACAAAATGACTATATAAAAAACTAAATAAATAAATCAGTAAAATCAAATGAAAATTAACTAAGTGTAATAGACATTTTTTTTTCAAATAAGTTAAAAGCAATTATCAAAAATTCTTACCAGAGTATTTGATTGGCAATGCATCATCTCGTAATTTTATTATATTTAAAGTTCGATTCAAACAACTTTCCCTAAAATGAAGTGAGCAGATAAAAGTAACTTTTTCATTACATTTAATATTTTCTGCTTCTATGTAACTCGGCCATTTTCCTCTTTTGTTTCATCTTTTGGTAATCTAAAATAATTAATATATTTTTAAATATTAAAATTATCGATATAAACCATATGTTAAAGTAACGACACTAGCCATGTAAACAATATTATTTACGGATCGAAATATTATAAAAATATAGACGAAAAGAGCGATATAGCATAAATAGAACACGCCAAAATACGATATGTATCGATTTATACACGCAATCATTTTCAGAATAACTTACTTACGTTTTAAATACTGTTATTCCAAGAAAGTGTTTAACTTACCGGTGAAACGTAATATTGCTCGGTTTGCGGGATATTGATGACGCACAACCAATTATACAGCACCTAGGCATTGTTTTGCATAAATAATTTACAATTTTCTGCCATGAAAGTTATATAAATTAAAGTTATAAATGAAAATAACCACAAAACTTATAACACTGACAGCTGAACTACTTCCGAGAATACGCAAAGCAAATTTGCAAATGGCTGACAGGTGGTACGATAGCTATATCTCATGACGTCACGTAAAAAATTTTGAACTGTCACACTAGTGCTATCTTTGTTTACTAAAGAAACTTCTTATTAGTTAAAAAAAGACAACATGATGTTTTTGATGTCAACTTCAGATTGCATGATATTTATATAACCATAGAAAATATTTCCACTCTACCTTACTCTATGGTTGATTCACAGACGATTAGCTGCACAGACTTAGTGTGAACCACAGAACATTTTTACTCGTGTGAACTGATAGGGATATCGATATTCATCGATGTTGTATAAACATCGATGTTTTAAACTTCGATAACATCGGCACATCGATGTTTTCTAGCCAAAGTGCTCTAGATGTACTAGCTCAGTGATTCCCTAAGGGGTCCAGGTGGACCCCCAGGAGTCCACGAGGGATTCAACGGGGGTCTACGTTGGCGTGAAATAAAAATAGGGCGCCAATTTCCATCGTTAGATCTTCACATTTTGGACGAATTTTGGGAATGTGGTAAAAATGTAGCAGCAGGGGGTCCACCGAAACCAGTAATTATTTTAATATGGTCTACGATAAAAAATTGTTTGGGAACCTTTGTACTAACTAGATGATCAAGTTCAACTATTATCCACTAGATGTCACCGGTTGCACTCGTAACTGGAGTAACCAAACAAATAGTTTTTTCTTTGCTTGCATTTTCCAAGTTAAAAATAAATCTGTTAACTTCTCTTTGGTACCCTTTAATTAACCGATAACGTACTTCAATGACTGTTACGATTTATTTTGTGAACAAAATAAATAAGTTGCCCATAAGAAGATTACGATACTAACTGCTTACTGGTTTCATTTTGCATTGAAGGTGTAAAGGTTCAAGAAGATTATTTTATCGGTATCGGGTAGCTTCGCATGTGTGAGTGATGACTTATGCTAAACTAACTAAAGTTTGTCTCACGAAAGAAGTACCTCGGAGCAGAATGTTGTCGCTTTTATTACAAAGGAATAAGTTATGCCGTGGGACTTATTTCGTGAAAGATAATCTAACTAAACTCTTTTTTATTTCATATTTCATAATAGGGAACATCGATTTTTGATAATCAACCAGTGGCGTAGCTACCAAGGGGCTAGGCGGGGCAGTGCCCCGGGGCCTTCAAGCTCAGCGGGCCCTCGAATCTTTACCAGAAAATCTCAATCGAACTCAACTTTTGAAAATTTCTCCCACCTTCAAAATAAAAATGACAGGTGACAACTCAAGTTTAATCATGGAAACACAGTTGTGAGTAATTCCAAAGTTATAATTAGGTACCCTACTTTGCGTCGCCCAGTCGGGTAAAAAGGGAATTCCCGTAAATTTTTTGTGTGGGTTGACAGTGTTATTAATGTTTACATCAATTTGTTTGATATCAATATCTGCATATTATTATTTATCGATATGCGTTTTTGTGATTCGCGATCGTGAACTTCGAGTCAATATTTTTTTTCGAGAATGGTTAAAAAGTTATTGTATCAGGAGTAAGTATGCGTATGTCAATAAATTTTTTGTACTGTTCCATACAAAAGTTCAATTTTATTTTATTGTAGTCCGTCAAACCGTCAAATGTGGTAACACTGGCGTTAAAATGTTTGCCGGGGATTCCCCAACGATGTCTTGTATCGTATCATTACGTTTCGCTTTCCTTTTACTTGTAACGTTGTCTGTGAACAGTGAGTACCTACTTGAGTACAATCTTACATAAATATTGCATAAATAAATTAGAAAACTAATATTATGGACAAAAAAAAAATTGGTGCATTTAAACGCAAACAACGCCAAGAAAGAGGAGAAAGTAAACAAAAATTGCCCAAAATTTACATGTTTTTTAGTCTGCCTTCTGCAAGTACTTCTGGACCAAATATTTTGATAATTTTTGTAAATAGCTTGCATGGCGATAGGTTAAATAACAGTAAGCTGATGCAACTTATCTATGAATAAATAAATATATAATAAACCCTTGAATCTTTTCTATTTCGTTATATTGCCCAATACCTACACCAAGTATAAAAATAATTGTAATTTATGTTGTTAGTGTTTAATAGTTTTATTACCTGCCTATGCACGAAAAAGAGCTGATGATAAAGTTGCTAAGCATTTTTAAAGTATTTGTATATTTAATGATAGCAGTGGGCCCCATTTTTTTATTTGCCCCAGGGCCCTAGATTACCTAGCTACGCCACTGTAATCAACGATGTTGAAAGCAAAAAAAATAATGTCTTAACATCGATGTTGCTATACGAAAAGTAAAGTAACATCAATGTTAACAAAATCAATCATCAATGTTCAAAAGAAATAGAGTTTAAAATAGACACAGGAGCAGATTGCAACATATTATCATTAAACTTACCAACTCGTCTGGAAAAGTGCCTAGATCACATTTTTCTAAAAACAAAACTAAACGCCAAGGTAGCAGACATTCAAACAGACATTACTGACCTATAAATACGAGGAAATAAAAAAAGAACTAGATAAATTTAATTACAATGAGATACTTATGACAAAGACCTACAAACCCACAAAATTGTATCAATTCATTAATTACTATAATTAAAACTACGATAGATAAATATACAACAAATAAGAGAGACTCGAGAAAAAATATAATAATGAAACTTTGGATAACACCTGGTATATTGTAATGTATTCAGAATCGCGATGCATTGCACCTTCGGGTAAGAAAAGCACCTGAAAACTATATCCTCCAGACTTCTTCTCGTAGATACCTGAACTTAAAAACTAAAAATAAACCCAAAGAGTTGTGGAGGGTCATCAAAAACATTAT